CGCAGGATCGTGCGCCATCTGGGCATGGTGCAGGGCAACACCGTGAGAGCCAAACATGTTGGCAAAGATATTCTTGCCGGTTTCAAAAACATCTTTGGCGGCGAGCTGGTGGCGTATACAGAGCTTTTAAGTGAAGCGCGGGAAGAAGCGGTTGATCGCATGCTGGAACATGCCCGTCAGATCGGCGCTAACGCCGTCATCAACGTACGCTTTTCAACCTCTTCGGTAACAGCCGGAGCCGCTGAATTGTTTGCCTACGGTACCGCCGTAGTCCTCGACGGCGAGTAACTTAAGCCATGGAACTCATTGTCATCGCCACCCTGACCGCATTGGGCTATTTCTTCGGTCGCATCGCTGAACGCAAGCATTTTGAATCTATCCGCCTGCGCGAAATCCAGTACAAAAATATCCTGGTTTTCAACGAGCGGCATCTACCGCCTGGCCAGTGGCAACAGGGACCGCTGGTGGGTGGCAACGTTGTGATATCAGTGGATTACTTCAAACGCCTGGTCGCCGGACTGCGGGCTTTGTTTGGCGGCAGGCTCGCTACCTATGAATCCTTGTTGGAACGTGCGCGTCGGGAAGCCATCCTGCGCATGAAAGCAGACGCACGCAGCCATGGCGCAGATATGATCATCAACGTGCGCCTTGAAACAGCCAGCATATCCAAGGGTAATGGCGATCAGATCGGCAGTGTCGAAGTGTATGCCTATGGCACTGCGCTCGTGACCTGATTGCCTGCACTATGAGCTACGAAAACCCGCAGCAGCCGGAAGGCATTAACGTTTCCGACGAACATCCGGTGCGCGACCTGTTTATGCTCCTCAGTGCTGTCATTGCCGGTGTGGTTATCCTGGTCATTGTGCTGTCCACAATTGCCTCCTGGCTGGCGCAGTTTGTGCCTTTTTCCACTGAGCAACAGCTTGCGGAGGTGATCGGCATCGAAAGGATGTTTGTAGCAGATACCTCTGACAACACGCCACCAGATCCACAGGTACAGGCGCGTAAAGACTATGTTCTGACGCTCAGCCAGCAATTGATCGAACAAGCTGACCTGGATGAAGACATGTCGATCACCGTGCACTACAGCCCCAGCAAGACCGTCAATGCCTTTGCCATGCTGGGTGGCCACGTTGTCATGTACGAAGGTCTGGTGTCTAAACTGCCTAACGAAAATGCGCTGGCGATGGTATTGGCCCACGAAATAGCCCATATAAAACTGCGCCACCCGATTGTAGCCATGAGCCGCGGCTTAACTGTATCGCTTGCTCTAGGGTCTTTTTTTGGCATGACCGACAATGCCTTTGTCACACGAATTGTGGAGTGGATTGGTTACAGTTCCACCCTGTCTTACAGTCGTGACCAGGAACGCGACGCGGATGCGTTTGCGAGCCAGTTACTGATCAACCACTACGGCCACCTGAATGGCGCTGAGGATCTGTTTGAAGCATTTCAGAGCGCTTATGCCGACACCGACATGCAAGGCATGATACCCACCGTTGAATTTTTGAGCACACATCCAGGGCTGGATGAACGTATTGATGAGTTGCGAGAACAGGCCAGTGATCTGGGCTCATCCGGAACGCCTGTACCAGTACCCTGGGCCGAGATAAAAAACTAGCAAAAAAAATGGCCGCACAAAGTGCGGCCATTTAATTCAGCTCAGCTTACTAATAGGTTTAGAAAGCGTAGCGAACACCAAAGCGAATCTCATAAGCAGAGGCGTCACCGATGCGCGACTCTGGTCGCTGGCCGCGGCGAACGTTTCCTGGGAAGTCTACCTGGCGCAGAATACCCCACTCATCGTTCAGCAGGTTGGTCAGGTTATCAACAACAATAAACGCTGATGCTTTGCCGTACGGACCCACACCAAACTCCTGCTCAAGCTTCACATCAACTTTACCCCACCAGGAACCGTCTTTGTCATTACGACGATCCGTTGGGCTCAACACGTTGTCCGCATTATCGAGGAACGGTGTGAAACCGTAGGGATCAGCTGTGCCGTTGAATGCAATGCTGTAAGGCACACCTTCGTTAGCTGCTGCGTACAACGAGAAGATTGTGCGGTTGTCGCCAAAGAACATCTTCTGCCAGTTCAGCGTGAACGTGAACCGATGTGCGATGTTGTAGTTGGACCTCGCCAGGCGATCTTCCTGGGGATCAAAAAACGCACGGTTGGTGTAGTTGGAAAACGCCACTGAACTGGTCATCGGTTGAACATCTTCAGCATCGCTGTAGGCATAACCAAAGGTCCAGTCCAAGCCGTTGTCATAGAACTTAGACAATGAGAATGATGCCAGCAGGGATTCGTTACCTTCACTGCTGTTGGTCAACACAAATGAAGCTTCGCGCACACTGTCGTACTCAGGGTAACCGTCAGCGGTGGTACCCACGCGCTCCAGATCTCCACGCTGAACAATGGCGGTGTCCTTGCCGCGAGTCAGCAGCAGGTCGCCCTGGAAGGTCATGTTGTTTTCGAATTCGTAGGTCAGGCCTACAGAATATTTCCACTCAGATGGCAGGTCGAAGCTGGGATCCAGGTAATTGATTTCGAAGTTATCACCGGTGCCGCCAGCAACTGCGTCAAACAGCTCTTGCGGTACGCCGTATCCTGGTCCAGCTGGCGCACCATCTTCTACAGCTGCATATACTACGTCAGCATCAAACAAAGAGCGGGAACCATCGGTATAACCGAACGAGCGACCACGCTGACCAAACTGCAGAACATTGTTTGCAGAGTAGTTGTTTGACAGCCATACGTTTGGATCACCACCAGAGTACAAGCCCACACCACCACGCAACGTAAGTTGATCGTTCACGGTGTAAGTCAGACCGACTCTTGGCTGTAATAAACCTTCACCATCAAGTGTGTTGTTATTGGCAAAACCATAGTCTGCAACAAAGTCTGCATTCGTTTCAGGTTTGTCGTCAGTGGTGTACCAGTCGTAACGCAGCCCAATCAGCACATCTAGATTGTCACCGATGGTGAAATCGTCCTGTACAAATACGGTGTTTACTTCATAACCCCACTCTGCCGCTGCATCATCGGGGTTGTTGGACGGTGCATTGTTGTAGTAAATCGCATCCGCAAAACCATTACGGAAGTTCTCTATGCCGTCAAAACGAATTTCAGTTTCCGTGTGCTGGACAAACAGGTTAAAGACTTCAAACTCTTCACGCTCATAACCGAATGACAGGTTATGCCCGTTGGAGAGCAGCCAGTTACCGGTTAACGAAAGGCCAAGGATCTCATAATCCAGATCATTAGACTGACGGCTGTCATCACCACCGATGTAGACATCTACCTCGTCCAGTTCGATCCGAATCTCACCAAAGTCTGTACCGCCGAGGGATTCAGCCCGCGCATCAAGATCCAACTGCGAGATGCGCAGTTGAGTAGAGAAGCTGTCAGTCCAATCGGAGTACAGGGTACCGACATAGGACTCCAGTTCGGAACCGCGCTCGTACAAGTGGTTGGTGAATTCGAACTCATCGGCATCGCCGTCGGACTCAACGGTGTTAAAGCCGTCGTTATAGTTATAGGTCAAAGCCACACGATGGCTTTCATTAATATACCAATCCAACTTCACCAGCAGTTTTTCATCGTCGTTGGCAAAGCTGCCCGGGACGCTGCCTGGGTCATACTGGTAAATATCACGGGAAATCTGAAGGATTTCGTCCAGTTCCGCTTGAGTGACTAACACTTCATTAACCGCACCAGAACCAATCGGACCACGATCAAACAGGTTGGCGCCATCCAGCTCTTCATAAGAGGCAAAGAAGAACAGCTTGTCTTTGATGATGGGTCCGCCGAGCGTTACGCCATAACGTTTCTCATCAAAATCACCAAATTCAATATCGTCACCTTCCAGCTTGTCGCCGCGCATTGAATCGTCGGTGTAGTCGTAAAAAACAGAACCAAAAAACTCATTACCGCCGGATTTGGTCACCGCGTTGATGTTACACGCGGTGAAACCACCGTAGCGGGCATCAAAAGGTGCCAGCTCTACAGAGACTTCGTTGATCGCATCATAAGAAAAAGGTATGCGTTCGGTGGGATAGCCGTTTGCGTTCAAACCAAAAGAATCGTTTGTACGCACACCATCTACAGTGAGGCTGTTGAAACGTGAGTTCTTACCGCCACATTGAATGGCATTGATACCACCGCGAGACTCATCCACGTAGATGCGTGGGTCAATCCGCAGGACGTCAGTAATGTTACGGTTGATGGCAGGCGTCGTTTCCAGGGTATCTAAACCGAATGAAGCGCTAGGCCCAACAGCGACCTGGGAGGTCACGCGGGAAGCTGTCACGACAACTTCTTCAACAACTGCGCCAGAACGTAGGACAAAATTCAAATCTGTGACCCGACCCAGCGCAACGGTAACGTCGCTCAGGGACTCGTTGCCGTAATTTGGTGCAGATGCACTAGCAGTGTAGTTACCACCCACCTGCAGATTGCGGATCGAGAAGCTGCCGTCAGCCGCGGTCTCGGTGGATCGCGTCAGCGATGTGGTTTCGTTGCGGACCGTAACCGTTGCACCAGCAACCGGGTTACCACGCTGGTCAGATACAACGCCGCGTACCGCGGACGAAGTTTCCAGCGCACTGGCCACTCCTGCAGTTAAAGACAGTGCGACAAAGGCAAAAAACAGCCCTAGCCGACTTGTCCAGGCAGCTATCCTGGGGACATTACCGTTCATCAATTTCTCCATTTGAATACAAGCGAGCCAAGTACGACTCAGGTTTTATTATTCTGATGACTATGCATACCAATCTTTAAAGATTAATGACACGTCTCCAGATTTTTTCCATATTCTCTCAGTACTTCTTCCATCTAGCAACGCACTTGCCCGATTTTATCTCCCGCTGATCCTCCGTAGTTGTAAATAATTTCCGGTACACTGCACCAGTTGCACCCACCAAATCCCTTTTTGTTAAACGGACTCGACATGAAATATTCACCTTCCCCACTCACTGCCTTGTATTTTTCGCTGCTTATGGCCTTTGCCGCGCCTGCATTGGGTGCTGAAGACAACAGCCTGCGAGAAGCCCTGCGCAAGCAGGTTTTCGCCGACAGCGTTGAGGCTCTGCGCCAGGCAAACGCGGTCAATGCTGCGGTTCTGACGCCGGAGACCTATCGGAAAGCCAGCCGGGCGTACATTCGCGCTGAAGAGGCGTTTGAGAGCGGCGCCGACGTCGATCGCGTATCCAGCATTCTTGAGGAAGCCAACAAAGAGTTTCTTCAGGCCGCCACCATGGCACCTACCGTCGAAAATTTTGTCAGCGCCGCCTTCCAGGCTCGTAGCGACGCATTAGCAGCTGACGCAAAAAAACGCGCCCCGAAGTTATGGGAAGAAGCGGAAGTGCAGCTCTACGAGGCGGCTTCCCGGGCCGAAAAAGGACGCGAGTCAAGAGTCGGGCAATATGCCGACAAAGCTGAAACGCTCTATCGTGATGCTGAACTGGAGGCCATCGAAACCGTCCTGTTTACTGAAATCGAGGCTGAGATTGCCAAAGCCAAAAAGCTCGATGCCGACGATTGGGCGGAAACGTCTTATCAGAAGGCCATAGATCTGCTCGCGCTGGCCCGCAGTACGTTGGCGGGAAATCGCTACGATACCGATCAGCCACGCAACCTGGCCAAGCAGGCCATGCACAACGCACTGTACGCACAGTACGTCTCGCGCCTGGCTGACGACATAGATGACAATGACACAACGTTAGAAGCGATTCTTCTCGAATGGCAGGATGTCTTACAACCCCTGGGAGACACCGTTGACGTACCGATGTACTTCGACAACGGTCCGGCGGCCACCATTGAATTGATTGTCGCTGCGATAGAGGAGCGTAACAATCGTGCGACCTTGTTAGCTCAGGATCTTGGTTCTGCAAGACAAAGCATTCGCCTGCTGGAAGATGAACTGGCCAGCACCCAGGCCGAACTGGAAAACCGCGAAGAAGCCAAGGCACGGCTGGACCGCAGGATTGCGTTACAGGCGCAGCAGGAGCAGACCGTGGCGCGGGTTGAAGGTTTATTCACTAAAGCAGATGCAGAGGTTGTACGCGCGGAGAATCGTCTGATCATCCGTCTGGTTGGGCTCAACTTCACCTTCGGCAGCGCAGAACTTGAACCGCAGCACGAGGCGATTCTGGCCAAGCTCATTAACGCCATCAGCGAGTTTCCTGAAACGCCCATCACCATCGAAGGACATACCGATTCATATGGCGCTGATGCTGGAAACATGACGTTATCGGTGAAACGAGCGGAATCCGTGGCCGCCTATCTTCTTGAACGGGTGGCCATCTCACCCAATCAGCTTTCCTCGGTAGGCTACGGTGAAACCAAGCCTATAGCCAACAATGAGACACCGGACGGCCGTTCTAAAAACAGACGCATTGATGTGGTGCTCTACCCTTCTTTCTGGTCAAACTAGAACTTTAAGGGACACAACAGATATGCAATTTGGTATTAACGGAACAGGCCTGGTACAGCAGGCAGACGTCAGCAAAATCACCGCCCATGCCAGTCAGGCAGCGGCGGATGGCTTCAGCAGTTACTGGCTGGCAGAGCATCCTACCGGAGGGCTGGATGCACTGACGGTACTGGCGATTGTTGGCCAGCATGTGAAATCCATAGAACTGGGCACAGCGGTTGTGCCCACGTTCCCACGCCACCCGCTGACATTGGCTAATCAGACCCTCACCACTGCAGATGTTGTCAGCCATCGACTGACCCTGGGCATTGGCCTGTCCCACGCTTCGATGATGGCTGACCTGGGTATCAGCTTCGAAAAACCCATCCGCCATCTACGGGAATATCTGAGCATTCTCATGCCCCTGCTACGCGAAGGCACAGTAGACTTCGAAGGCGAGGTATTGAGTTGTCAGGCCACTGTGTTTAAGTCCCCTGTTGAGAAAACCCCTGTTGTTGTTGCAGCCCTGGGACCGCAGGCGCTGGGCGTTGCCGGGCGTCTCGCAGATGGCACGACGCTGGCCTGGGTTGGACCGAAAACTGTCAAAGAACATATCAAGCCGCGCATTGAAGACGCTGCCGGGCAAGCCAACCGGCCCAGCCCCAGAATCATTGCAACGCTACCCGTGTGTGTGACCGAAAACGAGGCAGCGGTGCGCGAGGTCATTGGCAAAAACCTGACGATGTACAGCAAGCTTCCGTCTTATCAGGCGATGTTTGCGCGAGAGGGGGTTGCCGGACCTGCCGAGCTTGCCATTGTCGGCAGCAAATCAGCGGTAGCAGATGGCATCGCAGCGATGGCTGAAGCCGGTGTCACAGACTTTGCAGCCTCAGAATTCTGCTTATCACGTGATGAGTACGAACAGACCCGAGATACGTTAATCAACCTTTTATAACTAACTGCTCTGCTATGCCTATATCTAAAGTAACCCGCCGACAACTGCTGATCGGCGCCACTGGAACAGCAGCGGTGGCGGGTAGCGGAGGTTTATGGCTGGTGATGGATCGTATTAGCGATATGCGTCACCGCAAACCGGTTGCCAGGGATGCCGTCTTTGCACCCAGTGCTTACCTCTCCATCAACACGGCAGGCAAGATTGTTGTCTGGGTCACCCGCTCGGAAATGGGCCAGGGTATCAGCACCGGTTTGCCCATGCTGGTAGCTGAAGAGCTCGACGCAGACTGGCGCGACATCACCATTGAACAGGCAGTGGCCAGTGCAGAAGTAGATTACGGCCAATTGTTTACCGCGGCCAGTTCAAGCATCGCCGGCGAATTCCACATGTTCAGGCGAGCAGGTGCTACGGCACGCGCCATGTTGCTCAGTGCGGCTGCCGAAGATATGTCTGTCTCTGAAAAAGATTGTCTGGTGGCAGACAGCACTATTACACATACACCCAGCGGGCAGAGTCGTACCTTTGGCGATGTTGCAGAGCTTGCAGCCCGCCAGTGGGCACCCGTGCGACCGACACTGAAACAACCCGCCGACTTTAAACTCATAGGCACGCCGCTGCCTCGACTAGACCTGCGTGACAAAGTCACCGGCCAGGCTGTGTATGGTTTGGACGTTCGTGTGCCCGATATGCTGTACGCAGTTGTCTCACGCCCACCCCACTTCGGCGCTGAGTTGGTGTCTTTCAACGATACGCAATCACGCCGCGTGAAAGGTGTTGTTGATGTTAAACAGATCTCCACCGGCATCGCCATTGTTGCGCAGAGCAGTTATGCCGCCCTGCAGGGCCGGCAGGCGTTACAGACAACATGGTCACCAGTACCCGCTGACGCCATTTCCAGCAGGCAAATCAGCCACAGATTAAAAGCTGCGTTAGACCAACCCAGCCAGTTTGTTGAAAACTCCGGCAGCGAACCCCTTGACACCACACAGCTGCAGCAATATTCGACACGCTATGAAGTGCCTTATCTTGCCCACGCCTGTATGGAGCCCATGAACTGTACTGCACACGTGACCAATAACTTTTGTGAGGTGTGGGCGCCCACCCAGGCGCCGGAAGGCGCAAGACGCACCGCCGCCGCGATCAGCGGCCTGCACATCGACCAGGTACGCATCAATGTGACGCAACTCGGCGGTGGCTTCGGTCGCCGCGCCGCTGATGATTTTGTCCGTGAAACCGTTGAGCTTGCGACGCAAATAGATCAGCCGGTACAGGTATTCTGGTCCCGGGAAGATGACATTGGTCATGCCAGCTACAGGGACGCTGCTGCACACCAGCTCACGGCCTGGATTGACCCTGTTTCCGCAAAAGTGATGAATTGGTCTCATCAGCTGGTCTCCGCCCAGGCCGGTGAGCACCGGGACAACACCATGCCTTTCACTGCGCGTATGGGTTCAGCCGATTTACCTTACAATTTTGCGCATACCAGCCTGGGTTGGTCTTCAGTTCTTGCGCCGCTACCGCTACAGATCTGGCGCTCGGTGGGTTACTCCTACAACACGTTTGCCGTTGAATCGTTTGTCAATGAGCTCGCCGCGCAGGCCAATATCGACCCAATCGAATATCGCCTGCAGTTGCTGAGTGACAACCCGCGCATGACAAATTGCCTGCAAAAAGTTGCAGACTTATCTGACTGGCAGCCCGGACCTCGACATCTGGGTGTGGCGACACACAACTTCGGCTCTACCCAGGTAGCCATGGTTGTTGAAGTGAGCGGACAGGGCCTGTCGTCCCTGAAGGTAGAGAAAGTCTGGTGTGTGATCGATTGTGGCATTGCAGTGAATACCGACAGCGTTGCGGCGCAGATAGAAAGTGGCATCGTTGACGGATTATCTGCGGCACTACATGGCCAGATTACTGTTGCAGACAACGCGGTGGTACAGAGCAATTTCCACAACTACCCGCTGCTGCGCATGAACGAGGCGCCGGACATCGACGTTGAAATTGTGCCCAGTACCGCGTACCCCAGCGGCGTTGGCGAGGCCAGCCTGCCCGGCGTCGCGCCAGCACTGACCGCCGCGTTACAGCACATGACCGGCGAATGGATTCGAACATTGCCAATCGCGCTTCTCCTGGACAGCCAGGTCGCATAGACTCAGGTACACGATTTAGCAGGGGAAGACAAAATGGCAGAATCAACCGCAGGCATCGCCGAGATTAAATCCGTCGCCGGACAGGTGAGTGAGGCAGAGTGGTCGATCCGCCAGGACCTTGCCTGTTTGTATCGTGTTGTTGCCCATCACGGGTGGGACGATTTTCTGTTTACCCACCTGTCGGTGCGTATCCCCGGACCTGAACATCATTTCCTGCTGAATCCACTGGGTTTGTACTTCGAAGAAATCACCGCTTCGAGCCTGGTCAAGGTGGACGTGGACGGCAACAAGGTCATGGATACACCTTATGACGTCAATCCAGCGGGCTTCACCATTCATTCGGCGGTGCACATGGCACGTGACGATGCACATTGTGTCATGCATCTGCACACTGACGACGGCGTTGCCGTATCGGCTCAGGAATCTGGACTGTTACCCATTACCCAGCATGCCATGCAACTGGGTGAGATTGCCTATCATGACTACGAAGGTGTGGCCCTGGATCTGGACGAGCGCGCACGTATAGTCGCCGACCTGGGCACACGCCAGTGCATGCTGCTGCGCAACCACGGCACACTTACCGTGGGCCAGTCCTGCGCAGACGCTTATATGGCCATGTACTATCTGGAGCGTGCCTGCACCATGCAGGTTCGTGCGCTGAGCGGCGGCACAGCCATCTGTCAGCCACCACAAGGCTCAGCAGAAAAGGCCGCGAACCAGAGCAAAGGATTGTTCGACGGTCGTATCGGTCCGCTGGCCTGGGACGCGGTGAAAAGAAAAATGCAGCGTTTAGACGACAGCTTTTTGCACTGATCAGAGCTGCGCAGCGTTGAAACTGCCGACCGCAGCAACACCGGAATTGAATCACCTGCATCACAAACTTCAGTGGCAGCAGTTCAATGACGATGTAATGGGTGGGCAGTCAACCAGCACTTTTTCATGGCAGAGCGCAAATCTGACATTCAGCGGTTTTGTGAATACCAATGGCGGCGGCTTTGCATCTATCCGCACTGAACCTGAGCCCAGTTTAGCCCAGGCGTTCATCAACCTGATCAAGCCTACCATTGCAATTGAAATCCAGGGTGACGGCCAACGCTACCAGCTGGGGGTGCAAACGCGGGCGAATCTGAACTACTGGGTCGATGTAGACAGCCCAACCCAGTGGCAGACTTTCAGCTTCCCACTGGCTCAGCTTGTCGCAAAACGCCGCGGGCGCATTGTTGCGGATGCCGCGCCTTTAGAAGCCCTGGATATCACCGGTTTTAACCTGATGATCAGCCACGGCCAGCATGGCCCTTTCACGTTGCAGCTTCGCAACCTTTCCCTGCAGGAGGCACTCCCTAATTGAGCCGTAAACTGAGTTTGCCCACCATGTTTTCATTTGGCGTGGGCCAGATTGCAGAAGGGGTTAAAAACCAGGCCTTTAACGTTTTCCTGCTGTTCTACTATCAGCAGGTAATAGGCATACCTGGCACCATGGCCGGACTTGCCCTCAGCATTGCCATGATTTTTGACGCCATTACCGACCCGTTAGCGGGGATTGTCAGCGATCGCATGCAGTCGCGCTGGGGACGGCGCCATCCGTTCATGTTTGTTTCAGCCTTCCCACTGGTGATCTGTTTTATCGCCCTGTTCTCCCCACCGGACACCTTAAGTGACATGGGCCACTTTCTGTGGTTGACGGGGTTTGCCGTTCTGGTGCGCGGCTCCCTGACCTTTTTTTATGTGCCACATCTGGCCCTTGGCGCGGAGCTGGCGCAGGACTATAACCAGCGTTCCACGCTGTTTGCCCTGAGTACCGTGTTTTCAATCACCGCCATGGCTGTGGTGTCTTTTGTCGGCTATCGCTACTTCTTTCCCACCACCGAGCTGTACAGCCCCGGCACCCTCAACCCTGCTGGATATGCACCCTTTTCAATGTTCTTTGCGGGCATGATGTTTGTCGCCATCATGCTGTGTGTGTTCGGCACGGGCAGCGAAATCAAACACATGCGGGTAAATCGAGTCACCACCGCCCTGACCTTTAAGAACAGTTTTATGGATTTTAAGGCGGTGTTTGGCAACCGCTCTTACCGGCTGATTTTATTTGGCATGTTGCTGTCTACGTTTGCTATCGCTGTAGAAAGCATTCTCAGCCCGTTTATGGGTGTTCATTTCTGGGGATTGACCACAGAAAGTCTGGCGACCATCTCATTTGGTACTTTGATCGGTTTATGGATTGGCCTGCCGCTGGCACCCTGGTTCACGCGTCTGCTGGATAAACGCCTGGCGCTGGTTCTGCCTGCGGTGTTTGTGGTAATCAACGCCAATGCAGCCTTGTGCATGCGCCTGTTAGACGTCTCATGGTTTCCTGACAACGATTCACCCTGGATCTACTGGATTTATTTCCTGCGGTATCTTTTGCAAGGTATCTGCCTGCCGGTGATCTTCGCCAGCTTCAACTCCATGTTTGCCGATATCTCAGATGAAGTTGAACTCGAAACCGGGGTCAGACGGGAAGGCGTGATTTATGCCTCCCGTTCTTTTGCTGCAAAAATAACAAGCGCGATGGGCGCGTTGCTTGGTGGTGTGGTTTTAGATGTGATTGCATTCCCTCGGGGCGCCATCGCCGGCACCGTGCCAGAAGAGACCTTATGGTGGTTAGGCTTTATGGAGGGCCCCGCAACAAGCCTGCTGTCTATTTGCGGCGTCCTGCTTTATCTGCGCTACGGCATAGACCGGGTGCGCCACGCAGAAATACGCACGGCCATCGCCGCGCGTGATGCATCTAATGAAGTAGGTGCCGCGGATAAATAGAAGGCTGAACGCAGTAAGAAAAACAGCTACCAGTCGAGATCGTCTGGTACCGCAAATTTTGCGTAGTACTCATCATCTTCGGTAGGTTCGGACGTCTTCTGATCGTTAGCAACAATGATCCGTTTCGGGTCTCGCTTCGCAATCCGTTCTGCAATGTCTTTGCTGACGAAATGGTACAAACCATCATTGTTGACAACAACCAGCGAGCCGCTGATCAATTGTGCTTTCTGTGCTTCCGGCAGGTAAATACGTTTGATGCGTTTGCCATGCACAAAGTTGTAGGGCACATCATCGTCATTGGTTTTTTTAGCACGCTGATCATGCTGCAGAATCATCTGCTTGATTTCAGCACGTAGTGCCCGCGCCGCGTATTTATCGTTTCGTTCACGAGCCAGAGCACGATCTTTGGTCGCTTTGTCTTTTTTGGCACGCTGCACCTTGGCTTTTACGTCGGGCTGGTCAACAGGCGTTTTACCCCGTTTCTTATCAAGCTGCTGCTTGCGTTGCTGCCGTTCCGCTTTTTTAGCTTCAGCACTGCTTGCCAAACCCGCTTTAACCAGTTGATCTCTCAGGCTTTCACCCATCACAGCCAATCCGTCACAATTCTTGAAGCGCAAATTCTGGCACGATTGGTAACGGAACGCGACGATTGCATGGGTTGCATACCCTGTGCCATTGGGTATTGATTGCTGTTCAGCGCAAACCCCAAAACAAGGTATAGTCTGCGGCCACGGAAATTCGCTTTTTAATCCAACAGCTGCAAGAGGCCAGTCATGCATGACGATACCAAACTGATTCACTCGGGTTATGTTACCGATCCCACAACACGATCAGTTGCCACCCCTATTTATCAGACCGTTGCGTATGAATTCGAAAGCGCGCAACACGGCGCTGATTTATTCGACCTGGCTGTACCCGGGAATATTTATACCCGCATCATGAACCCCACCACCGACGTACTCGAAAAAAGAGTCGCGGACCTGGAAGGCGGCGTGGGTGCGCTATGCGTCAGCGCGGGAAGCGCAGCAATCAACTATGCCATTCTGAACATTGCAGAAGTAGGCCACAACATTGTTGCCACTCCGCAACTTTATGGCGGCACCTATACTCTGTTCGCCCACATGTTACCCAAACAGGGTATCGAAGTGCGTTTCGCAAAAAGCGACAGCGCTGATGATATTGCTGCGTTGATTGACGATAAAACCCAGGCTGTGTTCTGCGAGACCATTGGCAATCCGGCAGGCAATATTGTCGACATCGAAAGCATCGCTGCCGTCGCACACGCCCGCGGCGTTCCGCTGATCGTAGACAATACCGTTGCAACGCCCATGCTGATCAAACCGTTCTCTTATGGCGCAGATATCGTTGTGCACTCAATGACCAAATACATGGGCGGACATGGCAATTCCCTGGGCGGCGTTATTGTTGACTCAGGTCAATTCCCATGGGCAGAGCATGCCGAGAAGTTTCCCATGCTGAACAAGCCCGAACCGTCTTATCACGGTGTTGTCTATACCGAAGCCATGGGGCCAGCAGCTTATATTGGTCGCGCACGAACAGTACCGTTGCGCAACACAGGCGCTGCAATTTCACCGTTTAATTCCTTCCTGATTCTGCAGGGGTTAGAAACTCTGGCACTGCGTATGGAACGCCATTGTGACAATGCGTTGCGCGTTGCCCACTACCTGCAGGATCACGACAAGGTTTCGAAGGTGAACTTTGCAGGACTGCCGGACGATCCGTACCACAGCCTCGCGCAGAAATACTGCAATGGTAAACCTGCATCCCTGCTGACCTTCGAAATTAAAGGTGGCTTCGATGCCGCGGTAACTTTTTACGATCGTCTCGAGCTTTTCAAACGTCTGGTTAACATCGGTGATGCCAAATCTCTCGCGTGCCACCCGGCTTCCACCACACACCGCCAGATGAGCGAAGATGAACAGGCCAAAGCCGGTGTGACGGCGGGCATGATTCGGCTTTGCGTGGGAATCGAGCACCCGGACGATATCATCGGCGATCTGACTCAGGCCCTCGCCTGAGTCATTTAGCAATTCGACACAGAGCAAGGACAGCTCGTGACTGAGACACCTTACATGATGGCCCTGGCAGCTCTGATGACGCTGATTGTTATCGGGGTGCTTGTCGCGATTATTGTAAAAAGACGTCGCGCAAATGCTCGAGGATTACAACCGCTGGTACGCAATCTGGCACATGACGCACTGATTAACATTGTTATCAGCGACGGTAACCAGGGTGAAATATACATAGATCACTTACTCCTCACCCATCGCGGACTGTTGCTGCTCGACACCATAGACGCTGCCGGCAACGTATTTGCCGGTGATCGCATGGATACCTGGAGCGCAACGCACAACGGTGCGCGGATAAACTTCCGCAATCCGATACCTGCACTGGCTGACCGTGTCAGTGCAGTAAAAGTGCTGGCGCCCACCGTTCCCATAGAGTCTTTTGTTGTGTTCACTGCAGATGTGCAATTCCCCAAAGGCCACCCGGAAAACGTCACTACCGTAGCCAGCCTGCTCGAAACTGCGCCTGCAGAGCCTCCCGCTTCCACTGCAGCTTTCGACTCACAATGGGCCGCTATCAAAGCCGCCGCCAGCCCGTCGTTTTAGCCCGTCACAGGCAATGGGAAGCTTATGAAGTTCACCATTCAACGTCTGACACCTGCATACGCAACCGCCGTTGTTGCCTGTTTTCAGCGCGTCTACGGTGACACCTACGCTGAAGATCTGTTCTACGATAGCCAGCGGATGGCACGCAAGCTCGAAGAAGGTTCCTTACGCAGCGTCGGCGCGGTAAATGAACGGCGTCAGATTGTTGGCCATATGGCCATGACTATAGCCGACCCCAGGCTGTCTCCAGAGCTAGGTAACACGGTTGTTGACCCGGACATGCGCGGTTCAGGCCTGGCGTGGCAGATCGGCGCTGAACTCACAGGCTGGTGTGCCGAGCTCGGCTATCAGGGTTTCATACACTACCCTACCGCCGCCCACCACATCATGCAGCGCCAGTCTGTGAAAAATGGTTTTGAAGTCGGTTTGATGCTGGGTTACATACCGGCAGAAACGGATGGCAAAGTCAGTGCCCGCAAAAACTCCGGACGCGAAGCCGCCACCATTGTCTATGAACCTGTGAGCGCTCAAAACGATCAGTCATCACCTGAATTCACCTGCTATCTGCCTGCTTACGGCGCTGACTTTATCCAGGAAGCCTGCGCGGCAACGGGTCTGCAACGCAACTGGCAGACTGCCAACACATCTGATCTTGCGCAATCCAGCCAGACGCAAAACGCTGTCTATCCTCGGCGCGATCTGGCGCGCTTGACAGTATCCTGCGTTGGCGCCGACATCACTAAGGTCATCAAACAGCAGGGCCAGACTCGTAATGCCTGCCAACAAATCGACATCCTCATGGATAGCCCGGCAATTAACATGGCGGTAGACGCAGCTTTGCAGGAAGGATATTTCTTCTGTGGTTGGCTGCCGGGGCATCAGGGCAATGACGTTTTAAGACTGCAGAAAGTAGACCCTCAGCAGACCAGCTTTGCACCCGCGCTGGAAAATCCGTTTGCGCAGAAATTGTTGACCTGGCTTACGGCGTAACCTGAGCCTCAGCGCGTACTTCCAGATCCAGCCAGACCAGGCGATGATCGGATGACACAACGGGAAAGCCATCCCCCACCAGATAACGCGCAGGATCCCGCACAGTCGGCCAGAACACCCCACCATCAACAGGTGTCAGGCCATAGCGGGAGGGCAGCACATAATCGATACGTAAGTTACCCGGGCCGTTTGGGTTCAGATCTGCGGTATCAAATCGAGCAGCGCCTGTGTGCGCAGCATTTGCCATTCCCTCCGCCTCTGCATCCTCTACACCCCCGACACTTGCGGGCACCCATTCGGCGTTTATTGCGGGGTGATTTAACAATTGATGAATCGCGCTCTGTCGAGAATCACCATCCACAGGATCCGCATTGTAATCGCCAAGCACAACAAATCTCTGTTGCCCTAACCCGCCAGCGCGCCCCTGATCATCAATGATGTACCTGGATGCATGAGGCGGGCCTACATAATCTGCCCACAGACGTATCTCATCATGATTGCGTGCACCATTACGATCTTCAGGCCCATCAAACACCGGCGGTGTCGGATGGGCTGCCAGCATGTGGATGATGTTTGAATCTACCTGAACAGGCACATCCCAATGACTTTTTGAAGACAGCCTGAATACCTGAAGTTGCGCTGGTGTATAGAAGTCTGATGGCGCTGCCGTGTTGAGATTATCCGGCAGCAGCGCGCCTGGCATATCACGCCAGAGGAAATGCCTGAAGGTGCGTATCTGGCTTTCTATAATCGGGTATTTCGACAATATCACCATGCCGTACTGACCAGGGAAAGCGCCAAAGCCAAACGCATCACCGGGCCCACCTGGCTTGCCATCACCATCGAGATCCAACCCCGAATCGGCGCCGGTATTACTGGGCGCGTGAAAACTATACGGGTAAAAAACAGGCGGCAGTTGGTTATGGCTGACGCCCAGAAAATGTTGCTGGAAGGACATGAGCGCTGACCCTTCAGCGTCAAAATCAAATTCATTGAGGAGAATCACGTCAGGGCGGATGCGCTGAATAATCTCGGCCACCGCACGCACCTGCTGATTGGCTGAGTGGCTTTCTGCATCAGCCAGTTCCGCCGCCAGTTGACCCTCGTGCGGGCGGTTCATATAGGCGTTAAAGCTGGCCACGCGCACCACCACCGGAGATTCAGGGATCGTCTGCGCCTGCAGGGAGACGCATTGCAGGAACAAAAAACCAGCCAGAACTAACTTCAACATCACCACCTGCTCAACTTCGTTGCGCCACGCTATCAGCAAGCCACCCGCTCTGCTATCAGGGTCTTCAAAGAGGAGTTCAAGATTGCCGATGCATTACAAAACTAATTGCGAATGGTTGCACGCATCGAATGTCTCTAGAGTGCGCGCCATTGGAAAATTACAACAACTGGAAGACTGTATGAAAACCCTTGTTTCGCTCCTAACTCTTTTTGTGATGAGCTCAGCTATGGCTTTTGAAGTGGATGAATCAAAAATCACCACGCCCCAGCAGGCCCTGGACGCCCTGAAATCCGGCAATGAGCGTTTCGTGACTGGCGATGTCATTAACCAGGATTTCGAGAAGCAAATCGCGAAAACCAGCTCGGGCCAGCAGCCCTACGCCACCATCCTGTCGTGTCTGGACTCTCGCATCCCACCCGAAATTGTTTTCGACCAGGGCATTGGTGACGTTTTTGTCGGCCGCGTGGCAGGTAATATCGAAGACAACCACATGCTGGGCAGCTTCGAGTTTGCCACTGAACTCAGTGGCACCAAGCTGATTGTTGTCATGGGTCATACCTCTTGTGGCGCAGTGGGCGGCGCATGTGCCAATGCCAAACTGGGCAATCTGACACAGCTCCTCACCGAAATCACACCTGCTGTTGACCTGGTGAAAGCAAAAAACCCAGGCAAAGACGTCTGCGCAGCACCACACATGGATGAAATTGCCGAAGAAAATGTGATCAAAACCGTTAAAGACATCCGTGAGCGTAGCCCGGTCATCGCCGCGCTGGAAAACTCGGGCAAGATCATGGTCGTCGGCGCGATGTATGACCTGACAAGTGGCGAAGTCACCTTCATGGACGTGCCCGCCAGCTAACACTCCGGCAGCAACTGCCGCTTGTACGCGCCCTGCATCCCAGGGCGCTTAGATCCCCGTTTTTTAACTTTGATATCCAACTTCTGGAGATTTTAATATGCGCGTAATTCTGACTTTAGCCACCCTTGCGATGCTGGGCACAACGGTTCAGACCCAGGCTCACGAAGCCGGTGACTTCATCATTCGCGGCGGTATCGCCAACGTCTCTCCCGACGCCAGCAGCTCTGCTCTGATCCTGGACGGATCAGCAATCGGTCGATCTTCAGCTGACGTTGACGATGACACCCAGCTTGGCCTGACCTTCACCTACATGCTGACCAACGACTGGGCAGTTGACGTGCTTGCCTCAACACCGTTCACCCACGACATCAGCGCCTCTACAGGCGATCTGGGCCTGGGTACCATTGATGCGGGTAAAACCACACACTTGCCACCCACCGTCTCCCTGCTGTACTTCCCTGCTGCATCCGACAGCAAGTTCCAACCCTACTTTGGCGCGGGTTTGAACTACACACTGTTCTTCGACGAAGAAGTCGATTCTCAGCTGGAGGGCGTGTTAGGTAGAGGCTCACTTGAGTTGGACCCGTCTTTCGGACTCGCCGTCCAGGCTGGCTTCGACTACAAACTGACTGAGAACATGTACTTTAACGCCGGCATCTGGTGGATCGACATCGACACCGACGCCGAGTTCGAATTTGCAGCCAACCGCATAACCACCGAAGTGGAAATTGACCCCTTCGTCTACATGATCGGTTTAGGCTGGAAGTTCTAAAGATCTCATAACCTTTTGATTTAATATACGTTTCATAGCTCGAAAGCGGGTTATGAAACGTTTCCCACAAGCCACGCCCACCACAAGCCTGTCACCCTAAATCAGGGAAAATGACTCTACCCAGATCACCTCGCAGGCACCGTGGCCGGTATCATTTCGAGTGAGGGAACTGCGCCAGCGCCAATTGCTGTCCTGGGCTCGAACCTCTACTAACTGGCCGGAAAATCGAACCATATCGCCCTCGGCCGTGCGCGCCAGAGCGGCTGCAACGTCAGGCGTCGCCGCGATCATGTGCATGTTGGCACTCTGGGTTTCAATATTCCTACGGGGTAGCGGTAACTTTTCGGTACGCCAGAAATAGGCGCGATTGCGCTGCTTGATGTCAAAATGAGCGATGACTTCCGGTTCCGACATTTCACCCCAACCCAGCGCCAGATCGGTCTTCGACAAGTCGGCTTCGCGGCCTGAGTGATAATCTTTGCGCGACAGTATCCTGGCCTCCAGCGCAAAGGGTTCCAGATGCCTGATCTGATAACCGGGATACACCAGTTCACCCTCCTGCACGATCGCAACAGATGGATCCTGGTCAAAGTACCAGAACGCCACTGCCGACAGGACGGCTATAAAAAGGAGGTTTCTCAACTGACCAGATCTTTATTGCTCACCTGGCTTGTACTATATCGGCTCTAACTCACTGATAATGAGGACAAGTTATCACTGATCTGGTCCGCCTTGCGCAGGGTAATCTGGCCATCGAGGTGAACATCTCGCTGAGGAAAGGCGATCACAACATCATTATCAGCAAACAACTCATCCACACGGAAGCGGATATCGCTGCGAATAACGCGTAAGTCTCTATCTGCAGATGCGTGCACCCAGAAATAGGCATCAAAAATCAATGCATTGTCACCGAAGTCTTCAAACACAATCAGAGGTGCGGGCTCTTCCAGAACGGCCGCCTGCTCCTGCACCGCCTGTTCCATGAGCGCCTTGACTGTCTTAACCGGTGAGCCGTAGGCAACGCCTACCCGGACCTGGGTTCGCGCGAGCTGATCCACAAGCGTCCAGTTAACCACTATATTTTCCAACAGATAGCTGTTCGGAATCAGCAGATGCACGCCGTCCACACGACGGATGCGGGTGGAGCGTGTATTGATAGATTCAACCCGGCCGCGGGTATCGCCGATTTCCAGAAAATCATTGATCTTAATGGGTCGCTCCCACATCAGAATCCAGCCGCTGATGAAATTGTTGATGATGTTCTGGGCACCAAAACCTACCCCGATCGCCACAGCACCAGAGACAAAGGCAAACGCTGTAAGGGGAACGTTGAGCAGGTCGAGACTGGTCATCACCAGAATGGCGATTGCCACCACATAAAACACCCGACTGACCAGCTGGATGACATCAGGATTAACCTGATTTGCTGACATACGTCGTCGGATCAATCCAGCAACCCAACTCATGATCAACAGACCAAGGACGACAATCAACGGCAAAATGAGGACCTGACCTACGGTTAGAGCCTGCCCGGAAATACTTAGAATCTCTGTGTTGAGAAAGCCTGTAACATCGGCCACGCTCATAAAAAAAGCACCTTTTGCCACACTAAAGCCACCTGCGTCTCCACATCCAGATGGCCACCCCCACACCCAGCAGGATCATGCCTGCAGACACGTAGATAAAGCCTCGAGGATTTTCCACCCCGGGCAGACCCAGGACATTCATACCAAACACGCCAGTCAGGAACGACAGAGGTAGAAAAATCGCTGCAACCAGCGACAACACGTACATGCGCGCATTCTGCTGTTCTGCAACCCGATTACGCAGCTCTTCCTGCAGCAGAATGGCCAATTCACGAGCCAGCTCAAGATCCTCCACATAACGCGTGGTTCGATCCGATTGTTCTCGCAGTTGCTGTGACTGCGCGTCATTCAGGACGTTCTGCAAACGATTCAGACCTTCTAAAGCGTCACGTTGCGGCGCGAGATAGCGTTTCAAACGGGCAGCGCGCCGACGCAGCTGCGTCAACGCTGGGCGCACCTCACTCGGGGCCAGCTGTTCCAGGTTTGCTTCTATATCTGTCAGCGCTTCTTCAGTTTCATTCACCACATTGCCTATACGTTCCGCCAGCAGGGTCACCAGAGCCACAACAAGGTCGTGGGGCGTTTGCGGGCCGGTGCCGGCTTGAACCTGGGCTTGAACGTCCTGCACAGACAGGAGGCGGCGCTCGCTTTTACGGGCCGTTACCACAAATTCCGGGGTTAACCAGATGCGCAGAGAAACCATATCTTCAGGATCAGCATCGATACCCATGTTGACGCCCCGCAGGACAATCAACACACCGCTGGTGTCGACCAGCACCCTGGGTCGGGTCTCTGACGTTGTCATACTCTGGCTCAGCAATGGGCTGGCACCCAGGGTCCGCAGCAATCTGGCACAGGCGGCATGATCGCTCTGCACGTGCAACCAGAAAGGCAGTGGCAACTGCGCCGGCAGTTCATGCAGCTGACTGCCACCCCCCGTGCCGTCCAGGGTAAACAGTGAAACGATACCGTCTGGCGCATCTGTTGCTTGGGGTGGGTGGCTACTTTCATTCATTCGAAGATTCTAGCTTAATTAGTATCAAGGACTGGCATATTCGCCCTGAACACGACAGATACTGCTGTTATCAGCAGATTTTACATATCCACAACAATCGACCACTTCACAGATCGGTCACACACATGTATAAATGCCACTGTTAGGAGAAAGCTTCTTGTCGTTTCGAGAAAAACGAAGAGTAGTCACAAAACATTAGAGGGTCAGTCTTTGAAAATTGTAAAAAAGCTTAGCGCAATCGCCTTGGCAATTGCTTTGAGTTTGTCTGTACAGGCCGCTGAAGCGCCGTCCGACCGTTGGGGTCCCAGCTATCAGAACAGCGTGAACAGCTCATATTGGTTCGGTTATCGTGTGTTCTGGCGTATTACACGGCACCAACACAACAATGTTTGTGGTCACAATATACGTCCTGTAAGACCATCGCAGCCAGATCGCCCCAGTGTCAGCAGCGTACCTGAGCTGAATGCCGCCGGTGCTGGTTTGTCTCTCGCCTTACTTGGACTGTTCATTGGCGTGATGCGGGAAAGACGCAAAACCAAGTCATAGATTACTCGCTCAAAAAGAGCGGCCGTCTCCAACTTCCTGTGGAGCGGAACCTGTCCTTTAGCGGCGGCACTTATCCGTGACCGCCGCATCTGCAAATCCGAATAGCTATATTCAATGGTACCTTCCCATTGGATTGATGGCCCTTGAAATCCTTGCTGTCAGCCTGAGTTTTGATTCCTATCGTCCAGCTGAAGATAACCAGGACACTGTTCTGTCTGCACTCACTTTTGCTGGTGATTTAGCAAAATTTGGGGTCGTGTTCATTGGCGCGCTGATAATCGTGTCGTTCGAGCGTTGGCCTCATCACAACCAACTACTCGCCGAGTCAACCGCAGGTACCTCTTTTCCTTATTTGAAACTGACCATCCACTTGATGGTTTTTGCACTCTTTTATATCTGCTCGGGGTTACTGTTCTCAACGCCGACCGTACTGAGCGACGAACAGCGACAGATCATGGTTATTCCGTGGTTACTCGCTGGTTTCACAACCGCAATTTCTCTCGGTTGGTGCATTGCACCACTACGCTTTTGGCAATCGATATACCATGCAGAAAAGTCATCGTTACTGCTTTCATTTATCGCCGGCGCAGCAACATGGCTTTTCGCCTATTTCTCCAGGAACCTCTGGGAAACTTTGGGCGATGCGACTCTTCAACTGGTGCATCAGATTCTGCTTTTGTTCTTTAACTCTGTTTTTATTGACGTGCAGCAGCGTCTGCTGGGGTTAGGAGATTTTATCGTCGAGGTAGGTCAACCGTGTTCAGGCTATGAAGGTATCGGCATGGTCTCCGTTTTCACATCACTCTACCTGTATATATTTCGCAAAGAACTACACTTTCCGAATGCATTCATCCTATTCCCCATTGGCATTCTCACCATCTGGATATTTAACTTTGTGAGAATCAGCGTCCTGATCATTATCGGGGCAAAAATTTCGCCGGAAATGGCCATAAACGGATTCCACAGCCAGGCGGGGTGGATATCATTTCTGCTCGTCTGCATGGGTCTTTTTTATCTGGCCCATCGCATCAGTTTTTTTTCAAAAGCAAACAAGGACGCACAGCCTGCAACTGTGCCCTTGAAGGAAAATCTTGGTGCCAGCACCTTGATCCCCTTAGCTGCTGTCTTCCTGGCCACGCTCATCGCCGGCGCGTTCTCAACCCAGCCGGCCATCAACTGGTCTTACCCGATACCTGTTGCGGCAGGCGCTGCGGCATTACTGTATTGCTGGCCGGTTTACCAGCTTGGGCTGCCAAAAGTTGATCTGCAATCTATCGGCGTTGGTGTTCTGGTCTTCATACTCTGGATTCTGCTGGTGCCCGCGAACCCAGAGTTAGATAGCGAGATGCGATCCCTGCTTGTCCAGAGCAGCACAACCTCCAGCGTCGCATGGATCGCGGTGCGGATTCTTGGATCAGTCTTGATTATCCCGATTATCGAAGAATTGGTGTTTCGCGGTTATCTGCTGTGTCGATTAGCTGGACAGAAACTGAGTCTGCAAGGACCGCTGACTTTTTCCTGGATCGCGCTTATTGTATCCAGCGTAATATTCGGGCTGTTGCACCAGGCCTGGCTCGCTGGAATCGTTGCAGGCGCGGCTTACGCCTGGGTTAGATACCGATCCACCAGCCTCTGGAGCGCAATTGTTGCACATAGCATCACTAATCTGCTGCTTGCAGTTTATGTGCTTAGCACAGGTACATGGTCTCTCTGGTAAATGCTGACTTTAGACGTGAGCTTATGAATCTGAAAAAACTACAGCAGGCTGAGCGCGCATTTTTCAACCTCTACCCGGGGGGATTCGACGACGAAGGGCTGAAGCACATAGGCAAACGCCACAATGTCGGCAAGCTGTCCGAGTTCGCGGCGGAAAATCTGGCCAGGAAAAATTTCAAACTACAGGCTGCCGTGCTGGACAGCATTACCAAAATTGTCTCTCGCTCCTCCATGTTATCGATGTTCGAAAAACCAAAGTTCCGAGACTATGTGAATGGCTTAAGCCGCAGTGACCGCACCCTGCTGGCGGACGGATTTAACAAGCTGTTACACGGCAATCAGCAGAAAGGTTTTGAGACGATTGCTGACATCCTGCTGGATGGCCAGCTGGCAAAATGGAGCTTGATGACCATCTGCTTGTATCAGCTTTATCCCCAGGAGGAGGTGTTCGTAAAACCGACCACCACAAAAAACGTCATCCGCCAGTTCGAACTGGACCACCTCACTTATCATCCGCGGCCTACCTGGCAGTTCTACAAAGACTACAGAGAAGCGATCAACGACATGAAAAGCCAGGTCCACCCCGCACTGTCACCTAACAATGCTGCATTCACTGGTTTTCTGATGATGAGTACAGCAACCAGTTAAACAAAAGCCGGGATATACCCGGCTTTTTCCTACATTAAGCTGTTACTACTAAAGCAGTTCACCACCACAGGATGAAGCTGTTGTACCGTACTTTTCGTAAGCCTTAATGACGTTGGCACCTGTGCGCCATCGATGCACCTCATCAGGCCCATCTACCAATCTCTGGCTGCGAATGCCGGTGTACCAGCGAGCCAGTGGTGTATCCTGACTGTAGCCCAGCGCACCATGTAACTGCAGCGCGGTGTCCACCACCTGATGCACCATGTGCGCGAGAAACACTTTCGCGATGCCGTTCTCCTGGCGCAGATCTTCGCCCCGCTCAGCTTTATACGCAATGTGCAGCAGCATCAGGCGCGCTTTATAAATTTCGGCAGCACAATCCGCCAGCATCCAGCGCACACCCTGGCGATCCGCCAGACGCTTACCAAACGTGCTGCGTTCCACAACATGGCCCGCCGCCAGATCCAGGGCGCGCTGCGCGATCGCAACGTTATGCATACCATGGCGCAGGCGCCCATAAGCCAGACGATGCTGACCCATATTGAAACCCTGACCGCGTCCACCTAACAGATTATCCCTGGGAACAACCAGGTTCTCGATTTTAATTTCTGAGTGAGAGCCACCTAGTTTTAAGCCAAGATCTGTATGTGGCTGCATCGTCTCAATGTTCCGCACGATCTCGTAACCCGGGTTGGGTAGTTCCACAATAAACGTACTGTACTGCTCGTGGCGCGGCGCATCAGGATCCGTTTTGGCCATAACCACAGCAATGTCAGCTACGCTGGCAGAAGAACTGAACCACTTCTCGCCGTTCAGCACCCAGTTGTCGCCATCAAGCACCGCGGTGGTCTGCATGCCGGTGGCATCAGCACCCGCTGCTTTCTCAGTCATCGAATAACAAATCCGCTTTTGACCATCCAGCAGCGGCTTGAGGAATTTCTCCTTCTGGAAATCTGTGCCGTGTTCGAGCAGTGTCAGCATTGTGGCGTCATCCGGGCCCTGGGTATTGAGGGCCAATGCACCCAGAAAGCTTTCACCCAACTCCATCTGCACCAGCGCATTGGCCAACGGCCGTAAACCCATCCCGCCAAACTCTTCAGGAATGAAGGGACACCACAACCCCTGCGCACGGGCTTTGCCCCGCAGCTCAGCCAGCACAGTCTCAAAATTATCTGCGGTGCATTTTTCTTCTGCTGGAATACATTCTTCCTGGACAAACCCTCGAACCTTGGCTCGGATGGCTTTGGTCTCTTCAGGAATTTCAAAATCGATCATCTTCTCTCTCCTTAAATGAGTGACAGAACTATATCAGTCCCGTCGGTACTAAACCGCCTGTATGGTCAGGATGTAAAACACCTAGTCCATGCGGCCTATCCAAACCTGTTTACTCAACGCACAAAGCGCGCCGGCCTCGTCAAACAGCGCGGTACCCGCAAAATGTTTACTGCGCTCCACCTCAATACACCAACCCGTCACTACAAATTTCTGCTGCGCAGGTACCGGCCGCAGAATTCTGGCCGTCATCCGACCGAGCATGCCGGTGCGGGTCCCGCTGGCCAGGTAGGCAAACTGGCCCGGGCAATCCAATGCCGCCCAAACTACCGCGGTCGACAGATAACCCTGGGCATCAGCAAAGACTTCCGGTGGCTGCCATGCAGCTGCGACCCCTTCATAGCCATCAACTGGCGCAGCGTAAACATGCAGACCTTCGTTGGCCGCCACATCCGCACCGCAACAGAAACAAATCGGATGAAAGCCCGTCCCGTTAGCAATAAGCGTGTTCAGTCCTGTCTGAAACGAGGCTGAACCCATGCGGGCCTGTTCTGCAGCGTCATAGTCCGGCGCCGCTGGCACCTCCATGAGTAACTCAGTGCTTTTTGCTTCGGCTATCAACGTTTCACCATCCAGCACTTTGAGTCCGCCCGCTTCATCAAGCAATGTAGTCATCGGCTTATCCAGCGGTATAGGCGCGCGCAGGGTCACTTCCACTACCTGATCCGGGTCGAGCGCCAGATTGGAAATAAGCAGATCAGCTACCGCACCACTGACATACCCACCGTTGCCAGATTGTGGCGGTCCGCGAAATTGACTTTCAATCGTGAGCAGCTCGCCCGAAGCAGATTTTAAATCAGGTCCTTGCATGAAAAAATTTACTCTTACAAAAACGCTAAGCGTATCTGATGTTTAATGCGCTAGCACAAAAAAGCGAGAGGCTGGACAAAACTGGCATCAATCATCAAAGTAACCCTTTTGTGTCACACCTATATTCTGCAGGACCTTTGTCTATGTCTTTCATTCGAACTGTTGTCATTTTGTTCAGCCTGGTTTCACTCCTGACAGCGTGCTCACCACCCGCACCTGAAGTAAACGAACCAGGCGCAGACATTGCAACTGACACACCAGTTCCTCAAACAATTGATCCTTTAGAGCTGCATGAACGTCTGATCACGATGGATACACATCTGGATACGCCGGCACTGCTGGTACAACCGGGATTCGATATCACTCATAGACATGACCCGTTAAGCGATTACTCCCAGGTCGACCTGCCAAGAATGATCGAAGGCGGTTTAGATGGCGGCTACTGGGTCATCTTTACACGCCAGGGAGAGCTGACCGACGAAGCGTATGCTGACGTATTGCAGGTTGCACTAGAGAGGTCAGCGGCAATCCGAGACATGGTTGCTGCCAACCCGGATGATTTTGAGCTTGCCCTGGTTGCAGAAGATGCCGCGCGCATCGCAGCCGCAGGCAAACGCATCGTTTATCAGAGCATCGAAAACGCTTACCCCCTTGGCGAAGATCTGTCTAATCTCAAAGACTTTTTCGACTTGGGCGTACGAATGGTAGGCCCGGTACATTTTGCCAATAACCAATTTGCAGACAGCGCAACAGATCCCGAAGGACCGACGTGGCAAGGTCTGTCGCCACTAGGCCGGGAACTGGTCGCCGAAGCCAACCGTCTGGGTATGATTCTGGATGGGTCCCATGCCCACGACCTGGTGTTTGATCAGTTGTTAGAGCTTTCCGCCACACCCATCATCCTGTCTCACTCTGGCGCCAAAGCCATCTTCGATCACCCGCGCAACATCGATGATGCCCGCCTGCTGCAGCTGGCGGAACAAGGCGGCGTTATCCAGATGAACGCTCTGGGTGCCTATCTCACAGAATTACCCGCAAACCCCGAGCGCCAGGCCGCCATGGGCGCGCTGTTTGCGGAAATGAGAGCCACCACCGATATGAGCGAAAGTCGACGCGCAGAGCTCACCCAACGGCGACGAGAGATTGACGCTCAATACCCACCCGCCCTGGCTACTTTTGAGGACTACATGGATCACTTCCTTCATGTGTTGGAACTCATCGGTCCGAACCACGTGGGTGTCGGTGCAGACTGGGACGGCGGTGGCGGTGTTGCGGGCATGCAGGATATTGCTGCCTTCCCTCGCATAACTGAACGGCTCCTGGCAGAAGGCTATACAGAGGAAGATCTTGCCAAAATCTGGGGCGGCAACGTGACCCGACTGTTAGCAGCAGCGCAGGCACACGCAGAGGGATATTAAGACATGGTTCAATGGCGAGGACGGCGCACCAGCTCGAATGTTGAAGATGCCCGCGGTCAACGCGCCAGTCGAGGCGCACGCGCTGGCGGTCTGAAGCTTAAAGGCGGTATCGGCACCCTGGTGCTGATTGGCGTTGTGTATTTCATGGGTGGTGACGTTTCTCAAATTCTGGGCATGCTGTTAGGTGGCGGTGGCGCGCCACAAGTCAGCCAGAATGCACCCCAGGTCAACCCTGGACCGCTAGGCAATGACGATGCCGCTCAGTTTGTTGGCGTGATTCTCGCTGATACGGAAGACACATGGACCGCCTTGTTTGCTCAGGCAAATGCGCAATATCCCCAACCCAAGCTGCGACTATTCAGCGATGCCGTCAACTCGGCTTGTGGCTATAACACAGCCGCGGTGGGACCCTTTTATTGCCCACCGGATCAAAGAGTTTATCTGGATCTGTCGTTTTTCAATCAGCTTGCACAACTGGGTGCACCGGGTGACTTTGCTCAGGCGTATGTCATTGGTCACGAAGTAGGGCATCACATACAAAACGTCACCGGTGTCTTACAGGCTGTTGCCGAGCGCAAACGCGGTTTATCTCAGACCGATGCCAATCAATTACAGGTTCTGGTGGAATTGCAGGCGGATTGTTATGCGGGCATCTGGGCCCACTACGCTGAAAATGAACGGAATCTACTTGACCCTGGTGATGTAGAAGAAGGCCTTGCCGCGGCCGCTTCGATTGGCGATGACGCTCTGCAACGCCGCGCAGGCGGACAGGTGCGGCCTGAATCGTTCACCCATGGATCTTCAAGGCAGCGTCAGGCCTGGTTCAATACCGGCCTGGAGCAAGGCAGCGTTGCCGCCTGCGACACATTCACAAACGCCGGTGTACAACTCTGACTCCATCGCCAACCTCTTACCCAGCCACCGGAAATCGAAGACCTCACAAATCAGTCATCAGAAGTGCCTCGCACCCTGTGCCTGCCAGAATATGGTTAACCTGTTGTTGATCCGACGTTGTCAGGCGCTGATATTCCTCGTTAATCCATTGCAGACACTTACCTTGATAAGGGAACACCGGCTGCTGCCAGGCTCTGCCATCAATGGTGGTTTGCATCTGTGCTTCACCTGACCGCAGAGCAGCTGCGTTCGCCAACAGCGCCGGGACATAAACACGACCGATTTCAGCTAACAGCTCCGCCAGTGTCGCCTGCACATCATCAATCGACATCCAGGCATCTGCTGAAGCAGCATTCCCGCTTTGATCATCTAACAAATCTGTCCACGCGTGTACGCGCGGTGCTACCTGCATACACAGCGCTGCAGGTGTCGGATCGAATTTGGCCAGTTGAGTCAACTGCGCATACACCCCGAAGTCAGCAGAACTCGGGCGACGGCCCAGCACAAATGGTTGTTTTTGAATGAGTCGGTCAAAAATCTGCAAAAATCTTTTGTAGCTGTCTTCGATCACCGGAGCCGTTATGTCGTTAGAGCCCACCACATAGAGGCGCGATATCTGACGCTCGGCGATATAAGCGCTCATTTTCTGCAGTTGTTCGTCAGACATCTGTATCGATCGCCACAGCGGCAATATTGTGCCCGCCATCTTTATGTCAGCTTCGTAATACCAGCGGTAGTGAAACATCGCCTTGGTCAGCCATTCATCTGCATAGTCTTCAATCAGATAATTAACAAAACTGAGCACCGGGTTATCCGGTAGAGCGTGGCGTCCGTCGACTTCCGCCTCAAAGCGCCTGATCAGCGGCGTTGAGTCAACAACCGCCTGCAAGTCACCCCGCTCGTCGGGCAGATAAAATGTGGGTAACAACTCAACTTTTGGCTCAGGCAGCCCCAGGTCTGTAGCATGATTGCCGATCAGGAACTGGTAACCAATATGTCTGTAACGCAGATAAGCCAGCATTTTCCTTGTATAAGGCGATCCAGGAGCACCTTTCAATCGCACAGGTTGATCAATGGCCATTTCTTACCTTCTCCTATATTTCAGCTAGCTCGACGCCTTTTTCTGCAACAGGGAAAACTTCTCTGATCTGATCTTCAACCCTGGCCTGATTCATTTCAAGCGCATCACAGACAATTATGAACCATTCAGGCTTTTTACAAATCCTGCGCCCCAAAATGCAGTCTTGGCAGCCGTCTACCGCAGGTGTTTAATGCAGAGCGATCCTGATCAAAGTGAAGACAAATGACAATACAACGTGGTTCTTTCATCCTCCTTCTATGGATAGCTGGCAGCACACAGCTCATCTTTGCTGAACCGGACGCGAACGATCCACATCACGACATCACCCACACGCTGTTCTACAACGGCACAGTTCTGGCGCTGGATGAAGCCAATACTCAGGCCCAGGCTATAGTGATCGAAGATAACAAGATCCTGGACATTGGTAGCAACTCACTGCGCAAACGCTATCCCAAGGCAAAGTTGGTCGACCTGCAGGGCCAGACGATAATGCCAGGGTTCATTGATACACACGTTCACATATCGGGAAAAGCCAGGCGATATATCGACCTGACCAAGGTCACTTCAATTGCCGAAATACAGGATCTGATTCGCGCCAAGGCAAGTCAGTTACCGGCTGGGGATTGGATCACCGGATACGGCTGGTCAGAAGATACCTTACTTGAATTACGCCGGCCGCTGATCGCTGATCTTGACGCCGCCGCACCAGACAATCCGATAATGTTGACCCGGGCCGGCGCACACAGCGCTGTATTTTCCAGTGAAGCCCTGCGCTTGGCCGGCATAAACGCGCAAACACCGGACCCTGAAGGTGGCACCATTGAACGGGACGATAAAGGCGCGCTGAATGGCATCATTCGTGAACGACACGAAGAACTGGTCGGCAAACTTGTTCCCCAGGCCACTTACGACGAACTGCGTCCAAGCCTGGTGCAAGAGCTGCAGAACCTCTTTCCGCTGGGGATCACTTCCATTGTTGAGGCCTCAACCAGCGTTGACTACTACCCGGAATGGCAACACATCTACGCAACACATCGGGGCAGATTACCCAGAGCTGCGGTACAGCTGGCTTACGCCGGAGACGAAAAGATGTCGGCGTTTGGCCAGAAAAGTGGTGACGGTGATGCCCATCTGCGCGTGGGTGCTATCAAGATATTTGCTGATGGAGGGTTCACCGGTCCTGCGGCTTACACAACCAAGCCCTACCGCGGCGAAGATGAGTACCGGGGCAAGCTGAATATGACCGAGGGGGATCTGCGCGCTTTGATTCGACAGGTACATCAGCAGGGCTGGCAGATGGGAATTCATGCCATTGGTGATGCAGCCATTGAACTGGTGGTCGACTATCTGAGCGAAGCGCTGGCGGACATGCCGCGTGAAGACCACCGCCACTATCTGAATCACTTCACGATCAAACCCAGCACGCAGACTATGGAAAACATGGCCACAAACGCTATCGCCATCACACAACAGCCTAATTTCATGTATACCCTGGAAGGCAGATACACAGAATATCTTGACGGGCAGCGTCTGCAGTCCAACAACCCCATGGCAAGTCCAATGGGCCACGGCATCCACGTTGCCATGTCCAGTGACATCCTGCCGCTAGGGCCGTGGGTTGGTATTTACGCAGCGACCACCAGGCAGGGCATGTCAGGTGCAGTTTTCGGGGCGGAGGAAAAAATTTCGCGGTTTGAAGCACTACGTGCTTACACCGCTAAAGGTGCCTTCCTGACCAGGGAAGAAGACATCAAAGGCCAGCTTTTACCAGGTATGCTGGCAGACTTTATTATCCTTGAGCAAAATCCTTTAACTGTGCCAGATCCCGCATTGCTTAACATGCAAACAAACGCGGTATTCCTCGGCGGTCAACAGGTCTGGTCAAACAAACCCTGAAATGGATGAAGCAGAAGTTGTTTCGACTGTTGAGCATTGGTTAAGCCAGTTTGTCATAGGCCTTAACCTCTGCCCTTTTGCCCGGCGGGTATCACTCAATGACGGTATCCGCTATGAGGTCAGCGGGGCAAAAACTGAAGCCGAACTGACACATGCTCTCGAAAACGAGCTGAACCTACTGCTGGCGACCCCCTCTATAGAGACCACGCTGCTGATACACCCAAATGTTCTGGGCAACTTCTACGACTACAATGAATATCTTTCTGAAACAGAACGGCTGCTGAAACAACCCACGTTCGACGGTATTTTTCAGATCGCCAGTTTTCATCCGGATTACCAGTTTGCCGGCACTGAACCCGGCGATGCGGAAAACTATTCCAACCGCACACCCTATCCCCTGCTGCATTTGCTGCGCGAGGACTCTGTAACAAAAGCGGTGGACAGCTACCCTGACATCGAATCAATACCCGCAAACAACCTGCAGCGTCTGAACAACCTGAGCCGGGATGTATTACAAGAGATGTGGCTCAACTGCCTGTCATGATCCATCGCCTGCCGTATTGATCCGCTTTAGCCAGTCGCTATCGAATTTTTTAAGCACCCGGTCATAAGTGAGCAATCCATTCACCTCACCCTCAACATCGCTGGTCTGGGTGTAAATAGCACCTGACAAACCGTTGGCCTCACGCATCTGCAGGACTGCTGTTGTCGCTTTGATATAAGCCTGTTGAGCCTCTGCGGAAGAGTGAAAGGTCTGGTAGCCCCAGTTACGCATCTCAGGATTCCATAGATGCCCTGCCACCGGCCAACCCACGCCACCATACTCGCCAATCACAAGCGCACGCTGACCATCGGCTTCAGGCGGAAGGGGTTCGGACGTATAGTCGTGTTTATCGATCAAATCTCCTGCGCCGACATCTAACCAGCCACTGCTTGAATTGATCAAGCGTGCCGCATCAAGACCGCGAATAATCTGCGTCAGTCGATGTGTATCAAACTGTCCCCAACCTTCATTATGTAACACCCACATAACGATGCTGGGGTGATGCGACAATTGCAGGATCATTTCCTGCAGTTCATTAGTAAACCGGATGCTGCTATGTGGTGATCTTTGATCTTCGTCTTCATCGTTCGGGGCGACAAATTGTGCGGGGATAAACCCAGAAGGCATATCCTGCCAGACCAGCAAGCCAAGACGATCGCAGTGATAGTAGTAGCGCGCAGACTCAACTTTGATGTGTTTGCGGACGGTATTGAAACCGGCAGCTTTCAGGTAATTCAACTCAAACAGAATGGCATCGTCACCGGGCGGCGTGAGCAGCCCATCAGGCCACCATCCCTGATCAAGCGTGCCGAGATGAAACAATGGCTTGTCATTCAGAAGCATGGTCGGCTGCCCCCCTGTCGGGTGGGGACCCACAGAAACCCAACGCATACCGAAGTAACTGTCGACCTCATCAATCACTTCTCCGGAGACTTGGGCTCCCACATACAGTGATGCTTCGACGCAGCCTCGCAATGGCGTGTCCCGAATCAATTGAGCAGGCTGCTGCTCATCGTTCTTCTCAGGCAATGGATTGATTACAGGGATCAGACGGACGTTTAAGTCATAGAGTACGGGGTTCTCCGGTGACCACAGCTGAGCATCAGGCAACGCAACAACAACTTTCCGATTGGCGCGACCCACAGTTCTAGCAACCACTTGCCCATGTAATCGGACAGTGTATTCCACGGCCAGACGGGGATTGCGACTGGGCCGATGCAGAAAAGCAACCACTTCCACGGCGTCACACTGCTCAGCAGGCGTGACCTTCAGAGCTTCGATATGATGCGCCAGCGGAACCTGTTCCATCCAGACGGTTTGCCAGATGCCTGTTACAGGCGTGTACCAGATGCCGTTAGGATTCAGGTGCTGCTTTCCTCGCGGTTGATCAGATGCGCTGGTCGGGTCAGTCACCGCCACAACAAGTTCATTAATACCCGCAACAAGAAACTCAGAGATATCTAACGAGAAGGCCGTTGAACCACCAACATGTCCACCAACCAGTCCGCCATTGATCCAAATGGAACATTCGTAATCGACTGCACCGAAATGTAACAGCGTTCGCTGGGAGAGCGCCTCAATCTGAAACTGGCGGCGGTACCAGAGCCGTTGATTTTCATTAACGGATTGCTGAACTTCGGATAACAGGCTCTCAACACAAAACGGTACGCGTATCTCGCCATCCCACTTCGACGGGCAGCCAAGTGTTTTTGACGTTATCGCGTATTGCCAGAAACCGTTCAGATTTACCCACTGTCTGCGTTGCATCTGTGGACGCGGGTATTCCTGCAGCCAGCTTGAGTCCTCAAGCAGATCCTGCCCCCATCGTGTCATCATTATTCCACTCTCCGTGACGTTGAAGACTTACCGGCATGGCCGGATGTCAATATGTGCGCGCGGTTATCGAACTGAACGACGGATGCCTCGACAGAAAAAAGGTCTGCGATAAAAGCCGCTGTCACTTCATGAGGTTGATGCTCACCCACAACAACACCCTCATTCACCCAGATAATCCGGTCAGCATAACTGAGAGCAAGATTGACATCGTGCAATACAAGCAGCACGCCACGCCCTTGATCAGCCGCTTCACGAAACAGCGCCATCAGGCGGTGCTGGTGGTACAGATCCAGACCGGCGATAGGTTCATCCGCCACAACAAGAGGAGACTGTGTCGCGAAGACTCGAGCGCAGTGAACCCGTGCCAATTCACCACCAGAGAGTGTATCCAGTCTACGGCTTCTTAAATCCTCCAGCGCGCAGCTGGCAATCGCTTCTTCAACCGCGGATACATCCTGCGCGTTCAACCTTCCGCCAGATGTCCCGTGCGCATAACGTCCAAGGGCAACAACATCGTCCACCTGATTCGGCCAGACCAGTTCACGTTGTTGAGGCAGATAGCTCACGCGCACAGCACGACTGAGGTCATTAAATTTTGAGATCGGCTGGCCATCAAGCTGCACACTTCCTCTGCTTAACTTCTGCAGACCTAACAATGACCGTAACAGCGTGGTCTTGCCCGCGCCGTTGGGTCCAAGCACCGCGACCAGTTCACCCTGCCGAAAACCGGCATCAATGTTGTGCAGTAAACGTACACCATGAGCTTCAACAACCAGGCCCTGCGCAACCAGATGCATATCACACCCCCCGAACGCTGCGGTGAAAGGCGATCCAGATAAATACCGGGGCGCCCAACAGCGCTGCGACAACACCGAGCTTCAACTCTCCGGTGGTAGGCAACAGTCTTAGAATGATATCGGCCAGCACCAGTAACAAACCACCTAACAGCGCACTGGGAAAAAGTGTGCGCGCCGGGTCAAACCCTACCCAGGGGCGTACGATATGAGGTGCAACAATACCAACAAAACCAATGGCACCCGCTAAAGCCACCGCTGCACCGGTGGCAATACCCGCACCGGTGACAACCAGCAGGCGCTGGCGACGAAGGTTCAGACCAATTCCGCGGGCAGCCTCTTCACCTAAAGACAGGACTGAAAGTCCGCGCCTGCTCACCCACAACACCATCATCCCTATGAGTAGAAAAGGCAGAGAAAGCTGCAGATCCGCGTAACTACGATTGGCAACCGAACCCAGCATCCAGTTGATCATATCTGCGAGCGTAAAAGGATGGGGCGCAAAATTCATCAGCAACGACATCAACGCCGCAGCAAAACTCGACAAACCCACCCCAATGAGTATCAGCGTTACCGCAGAAGCAGATGCGAGCGCTGCCGCTGCGATCAGCCCCGTAGCAACTAAGGCGCCAGCAATCGCTGCGACAGGCAGCATTAAGGCGCTGAGTTGAACAAATCCATAATAGATGACCACAGTTGCTGCCAGTGCAGCTGAGGCTGAGACACCTAGCACGCCAGGCTCTGCCAACGGGTTACGCAGCAGACCCTGTAATGCAGCGCCACTCATTCCCAACCCGGCACCCACAAACATCGCAGCCAGTGCACGAGGCAGGCGAATCTGCCACACAATAATACGATCCGCGGCCTCACCATCACCAAGCATTGTCTGTAAAACGGTTAAAGGCGAAAGAGTTGTCGAGCCCAGCAGACAGGCAAAAAACAGAGTCGCCAACAAGAGCAGACACAGTAAAATATTGATTCTTGCGGACATCACTCGCGCCCACCTTCTTCAGCGTCCACCACTGTTCGATTGGCCAGCTCATCCCGCAATGCCTCCACCGCATCCATCAGAAACCAGGCACCACACGACGTCCAGGCACCTTCCAGCGGCACCTGACGCGCTTTGGCCAGCTGACGTTGTGTGACAGGATGAGCGGCAGCAGACCACAGGTCTCGATGCCCATAGGCTGATTGATAAAATGCTCGAGCCACCACATCCGGACCACCGTAGACTAATCGCTCAAGGGGTAAAGCGCGCCAACCGGGCTTGTTCTCAAAATTATCGAATCCGGCCGCCAGTAAAACGTCATGCATCAATGTGCCAGGCCCAGCGGTAACGCCCGTTGGCGTCATATACAGAGCGGATGATTCTGCAGCTCTGACTTCTGCCGAGATCTGCTGCAGGCGCATATCCATATCCGCGGCTATCTTTTCACCCATCTGCGCCGTACCCAACGCGGCGGATAGAGATAAAACCGACTGTTTCACTTCAGCAAGGGTGTTTGCATAGCCGATCTGTACCACGGGAATATCCAGCTGAGCCAACACCTCAACAATGCCATAGCCGCCGCCATAAGAACGAACAACCATATCCGGCTTTATGGAAATGACATCCTCAACCATAGGACGCACGCTAGGAAAGTCCTGTGCACGATCACGGAAATAGCTGAATTCCTGCACCGCCTCTGGAGAGAGCGCAAGAATGTTTTCAGCTGCGGTAAATTGCAGCACGTACTGGTCAGCACAATAGTCGAGGCTGACAATTCTTTTTGGGGGAACCTTTGCAGCCGTCGCATAGACCTCTGCATAGACATATCGCGTGCTATCGCATAGGAGCAGAAGTACTGCAGCAACAACCAGAACTGGGCGCATAAACAACCTCATAGCAACAGAAGAACCCACACTCTGCACAGCTATCTGCATGCAGGGCCTGGCGATAATGTCGCTACAAAGGAAGTTTTCCCGTCTTAAACAAGCAGTTCCCGGCTTCAGACGAGCGACACGACGGCAGGTTTCCTGGCTTACCGATTAACACATCCGGTCCCTTCCCAACAAAACAAGCGTCTCGTCAGTGGTATTGACCGTCTATTTCCGGTTCACAGTTGCGGGCACAGCCACGGTTTTTTAAGCAGCAGCCCAAGCACCGCCGCACCGTGTTCCCTCTTAGCGCACTAGGCGCACCGTCCAGGTAACAGTTTGGCGAGCGGGTCGTTGAAGTCAAGTCAGCTTTATGCCGAAATATTCTTCGAACTTTGTGTTGTACTCATCATCGGAAAGCTCATCACCCATCTGTATCCAGCTTTCTGCAGACACCTTCCCTCTGGCCTGCATGAACCCTTCGGCATCCGGCCCGACCGGCCAGCGTAAGCGATAATCCTGTGTTTCGATCGCTTCAAGAATAGTTTCAGATACCCGCTCCGGTGGCACAGCGCGGGCAAACCCAGCCGCAAACAGCTTGCCGTTACGGCGCATCACGGGCTGATAAGGTGACGTTTTGTCGTATCTTGTCTGCTCGGCAGAGTTTTCAAAAATGTTGGTCATGATCACACCGGGTTCAACGTTCACCACCCGCACACCAAACCTGAAAACTTCGTGTGCCAACGCCTCGCCTAAACATTCCAACGCCCACTTCGATGCGGAATAGGCAATCTGATTCGGCGTTGCGATCAATCCAACTGCTGACGTGATGTTCACAATACAGCCGGCACCCCGTTCACGCATGGCTGGTAAAACCGCCTGAATGCACCGGACGGCGCCGAAGTAATTGGTTTCAAACATCTGTTTATGTTCGTCTTCCGGCGTGAGCTCCAACGGCGATGCGCCACCGATACCGGCATTATTGATTAATACGTCAACGTTACCGCGGCCGAGTATTTCACTGAACGCACGATCTACAGATTCAGCATCACAGATATCGAGCTGAACAACTTCTATTGGCAGGCTTTGCGCCTCAGCAATTTCTTTGAGTGCATCAGCCTTCGCCAGATTGCGCATGCCGGCAAACACCTGATAGCCGTTTTTGGCAAGATGCACGCTAACAGAAAGGCCAATTCCAGTACTGGTTCCGGTCACCACAGCTACTTTCATTTTTGAATTCCAATTGATCAGTTGGAGCCAGAGTCTATAGACCCTGGGGACGCTTACCTAGTACATGGAGTCTGAAAATCAGCATGGGAGAGGTTGTTTGCTGCAAGCACGCACCCGTATATTTTTGTAACATCCAGCATATTCATGACACACCCAGGGAGAGCACACATGTCCACGGAAAGAGAACGGCTACATAATTTGTTTCCTGACCTCGACTTCGATCCACAGGCTTTGCGCGAGAAATATCGTTTTGAACGCGACAAGCGCATCCGCGAAGATGGCGAAAACCAGTACGTAGAAGCGGCTTCTGAATTTGCGCACTACGCTGACGACGATCCCTATGTAGACGCCAACCTGGAGCGAGACCCGCTTGATCTGGATATCGAGGTTGCCATCATCGGCGCGGGATTCAGCGGTCTGATGACCGCTGCGCGCCTGAAAGAAAGAGGCATCACCGATTTCCGTATCATAGAAGCCGGCGGAGACTTTGGCGGCACCTGGTATTGGAACCGTTATCCCGGCGCGCAGTGCGATATCGAATCCTACTGTTACTTACCGCTGCTGGAAGAAACCGGCTTCATGCCTAAAGAGAAGTATTCTTTTGCCCCCGAGATTTACCAGCACACCCAGCGCATTGGTGAATATTTTGGTCTTTACGACCAGGCCATCTTCCAGACCCGGGTCAATGAAGTGAAGTGGATCGAAGAAGAACAGCGCTGGCAGATATCGACCCAGCGCAACGACAACATCAAAGCCCAGTTTGTGATTCAGGCAACCGGGCCCGCCAATCGCCCCAAGCTACCCGGCATCCCTGGTATCAGTGACTTTAAGGGGCACACTTTCCATACTTCGCGATGGGACTATGACTATACCGGAGGCGATCACAACGGTGGTTTGACCAAACTTGCAGACAAGCGCGTTGCGATCATCGGCACCGGGGCAACTGCTATACAGTGTGTACCCTATGTCGGTCAGCATGCTGAAAAACTCTATGTGTTCCAACGCACCCCGTCATCAGTTGATCTGCGTGGCAACAAGCCTACAGATAAAGAATGGTATCAGAACCTCGAAAGTGGCTGGCAAAGAGCACGACGGGAAAATTTTGCCGCAGTGCTTGCGGGTCAGAACTTTGGTGAAGACCTGGTTGCCGATGGTTGGACGGATATTGCACGCAGAATTGGCCTGTCGCTGATGAATCGAAACTCAGACGCAGGCGATCTGGACATGGAAGAAATTATGCTGCGCTCCGAGATTGCCGACTTCCAGAAAATGAACGAAATCCGCAGCCGGGTTGACCAGGAAGTGAAAAAAACCGACGCCGCAGAAAGCCTGAAGCCGTGGTACCGACAGTTCTGCAAACGGCCAACCTTCAACGATGAATTTCTGGCGACTTTCAACCGCGACAATGTTGAGCTGGTAGATGTTTCCGAATCAAAGGGGGTTGAGCGCATTACCAGCAATGCCGTTGTTGCCAATGGCAAAAGCTATGAGGTGGACTGCATTATCTACGCAACCGGTTTTGAAATCACAACGTCCGCACATCGACGGGTAGACTTTGACACCCTCGGCAGCAACGGTGAGTCACTGTACGACCATTGGGCTGGTGGGTTTCGCACACTTCACGGTCTCTCAAGTCATGGTTTTCCCAACTGGTTCACCATCGGCATCAATCAGAATGGTCTGTCGCCAAATATGACCGCAATGTTTGACGACCAGGCGGTACACGTAGGTTACATCATTGAAGAAGTAAAGAAGCGCGGCAAACAGGTGGTTGAGGTGACCCCGGAAGCGGAGCAGGCATGGGTGGATAAAATTGTTCAACTCGCCGGCAGTGGTGCAGCGGCCTTCCTCGAAGAATGTACACCCGGTTACTACAACCGCGAAGGCAAGAGTTCAGAAGCGAACATGCAGAATTCACCGTTTGCACCCGGCATCAACGCTTTCAACGAGCTGCTGGAGAAATGGCGGGATGCAGGCACACTGGAAGGTATGGAACTACGCTGAAACCTGAAGGCCTTTACAGGCGATTATTCCTCACCAGAAAGGTATGCGAGACCTGTTACTCGCATGCCGGTAATTCCGAACAGTAGCGTCGCGGAAATCGGATTGTTGATCATCTGGCAGCCAGTAGACTGGCCGCCGAATCAGGGGCCCTCGCTCAACAAACTAACCCACGCTCGAAAGGAAAAACCATGTCTGAAGCTGAAAACCAAGCCAACGAAACCCCCAGAACGCAAGAAACCCTGGGCGACAAAGCAGCACGTTGGATTGATGACCCTGTCGGTTCCGTGGTTGCCGGTATCGCCTTTCCAACCGCCGCCGTAGGTATTGTTATGGGTGGCATCTGGGGGCTAGGTTTCGTTTATTAGTGGGGATACACCCGCACTGGCAGGTCGGTGATCCCGCGTACGAAGCTCGAACGCAGTCGCTGAGGCTCTCCGACCACCTCAACCTTCCTGAATAACGGCAATATTTCTTCCCATAACACCCGTAACTGCATTTCAGCCAGACGATTGCCCATACAACGGTGAATACTAAAACCAAACGATAAATGATGACGCGCGTTAGGCCGATCAATCAGAAATTCATTGGGCCGGTCTATCGCCTCTTCATCGCGGTTTCCTGAGACGTACCACATCAGCAGCTGGTCGCCGACTTTGATCTGTTTACCACGGATCTCTATGTCCTGATTAGCGGTGCGACGCATATACGGTAGCGGCGTCTGCCAGCGGATAATCTCTGGCACCATATTCGAGATCAGACCCGGGTTGGCGCGTAATTTTTCATATTCAGCCG